GGGTGGATGGATGGATGGATATAAAGACAGACAGACAGATATATTTATATCTAATGATAGATATGATAAATGGATGGATAGATAGATCGATATATGGATATAGAAAGACAAATATATGATAGATAGATAGATAGATAGATAGATAGATAGATAGATAGATAGATAGATAGATAGATAGATAGATAGATAGATAGATGGATGGATGGATGGATGGATGGATGGATGGATGGATGGATGGATGGATGGATGGATGGATATAAAGACAGACAGACAGACATATATTTATATCTAATGATAGATATGATAAATAGATGGATGGATAAATAGATTTATATATGGATATAGACAGACAGATATGGGGGATGGCGTTTGTGTGTTTTAATATGCTGTAAGCCGCCCTGAGTCCTATAGGGAGAAGGGCGGCATATAAGTTTATGTAAATAAATAAATAAATATATTATAGATAGATAGATAGATAGATAGATAGATAGATAGATAGATAGATAGATAGATAGATAGATAGACAGACAGACAGACAGACAGACAGACAGACAGACAGACAGACAGATAACATTTATATCTAATGACTATAGATGGATGGATGGATGGATGGATATATAATAGATAGATAGATAAGGAAAATCAGGATGGATGGAGGGGAGGAAGCAGGAAGGGAGGGAGAAAAGCGAGGGAGGGAGAGAGGGAGGAAAGCAGGAAGGAAGGAAGGAAAGGGGAAGATGGATAGATGGGAGGGAGGGAGGGAGGAAAGTAAATAGAGAAGGAAGGAAGGAAGGAGAAAGGGAGGGAAGGAATATAAGAAAGGAATCAGGAGGGAAGGAGGGAAGGAAGGAAGCAGGGACAGAGGGAGAGGAGGGATGGAGGATAGAAGGAAGGAAGGAATGGGGAGGGTGGATGGATGGGTAGGAGGGAGGTTAATATAGAGAAGGAAGGAAGGACAGGGAGGAAAGAAAAGAAGGGAGGAAAGAAGGAAAGCATCGGGAGGAACGAATGAAGGAAGGGAGGCAGGGAGGGATGGAGGGAGGGAAGAAGGAAGGAAGGAAGGAAGGAAGGAAGGAAGGAAGGAAGGAAGGAAGGAAGGAAGGAAGGAAGGAAGGAAGGGACTATAATCTTTACCCCCATCATTGTCTCCTCCACTCTCTGCAGAGGGGTCACCTTCATAGGGACCACCATCGGGATGGCGCCCCTGGAGGGCATGTGCAGCGCGGAGAACTCCGGTGGGGTGAGCATGGTAAGAAGGAGATGGCTTCCCCTGACCCCTTCCGCTTGCTGATCGGGAGCTCCCCCATCCGTCATACGGGATGAAAATGCTCTTGGCTGGCCACACCTTCTGTCACTCATGGGAAGGTCACAAGATCGCTTTTCTACAGGCCAGGACTCTCCACCTCGGGTAACTTTAAGGCCTCTGGACTTCAACTCCCAGAATTCCCCAGCCAGCAGACCTGAGATAGATAGATAGATAGATAGATAGATAGATAGATAGATAGATAGATAGATAGATAGATAGATAGATAGATAGATGGATGGATGGATGGATGGATGGATGGATGGATGGATGGATGGAAGATAAATAGGTAGATAGATATGGATGGATAGATGGATGATAGTAGATAGATAGATAGATAGATAGATAGATAGATAGATAGATAGATAGAGATAGATATAGAGATAGATATAGAGATAGATAGTTAGATATATTGAGATAGATAGATAGATAGATAGATAGATAGATAGATAGATAGATAGAGAGAGAGAGAGAGAGAGAGAGAGAGAGAGAGAGAGAGAGAGAGAGAGAGAGAGAGAGAGATAGATAGATAGATAGATAGATGGATGGATGGATGGATGGATGGATGAGAGACAGACAGACAGACAGACAGACAGACAGACAGACAGACAGACAGATGATATATATAGATAGATGATAGATAGATGATAGATATAGAGATATGGATGGATGGATGGATGGATGGACGGACGGACAGCACTAGCAATAGCCCTTAGACTTATAGACCGCTTCACAGGGCTTTACAGTGAGTGGTTTACAGGGTCAGCCTATTGCTCCCCAACAATCGGGGTCCTCATTTTACCCACCTCGGAAGGACGGAAGGCTGAATCAACCTTGAGCCGGTCAGGATCGAACCCCTGGCAGTGGGTGCGAGGGGAGGGACGGGCAGCGCTTGTGAGGAATATCTCCTCCTCCTCCTCCTTCCCAACCCTCCCCCCTTCCCAGAAACAAGCCCTACATCCTTGAAAGCTCTAACTTGGATAGCAAGATAATCCCCCCACTCAATTCTGCTGATGCCTCCTTGACTTTAGCTAGCCCCCCTAGCTCGGGTGCTTGGAAAATCAAGCTCCACCCCCTCCCCATTGGCAGCTGCCCCCCTTCCCCTCTTATAGCTGACGAACCTTCCTCTTTTTCCCCCTCCTCTTCCTCCTCCTCCCCCCCCGCAGGACCACTCGGAGTTGCCCATTGGCGCCGCCGCCACCATGGCCCACGAGATCGGCCACAATTTCGGCATAAGCCACGACGCGGACGGCTGCTGCGTGGAGGCCACGGCATCCCAGGGGGGCTGCATCATGGCTCCGGCCACGGGGTAAAGCGGGGCGGTTACCATTTTTTTGGGGGGGGGCGGACGGTTGTCCCGATAGAATACAGGCCATCCTCGACTTACGACGGTTCGCTTAGTGACCGCCGGGCGTTACAACGGCACTGCCCCCAAAGCGACTCGCGACCGTTTTTCACGCTGAAACGACCGTGGCAGCGTCACGTGGTCAAAACTGAGACGCTCGGCGACTGACTCGTATTTACGACGGTCGCCGCGTTTCCCCCCTCCCCCGGGCGGGTCACACGATCCCCTTTTGCGACCTTCCGGCAAGCAAAGTCGACGGGGGGGGGGGAAGCCGGATTCGCTTAACGACCTGTCTTCCTAACTGAAGGCCTGCAGCGATTCACTTAACAACTGTGGCAAGAGAGGTCGTAAAAGGGAGCGGGGAAAAAAAAATCGCTTCACAAATGTCTTACTCGGCAACAAAACTTTGGGCTGAGTTGTGGTCGTAAGTCGAGGAGTATCCGTAATAGAGTCGGAAGGGACCTTGGAGGTCTTCTAGTCCAGCCCCCTGCTTAAGCAGGAGATCCTATACCATTTCAGACAAAGGGCTGTCCAGAAAAACTTTAAAAAATCCAAATTCTCTCCTCAAAAAAGGAAAAGGAAAAAAAAACGCAGGTAGTCCTTGACTTACAACGGTTTCCCTTAGCATCCGTTCAGAGTTACAACAGCCCTGAAAAAAGGGACTTAGGACCGTTTTTCACACCAGCAATCCCCCTGGTCACGTGATCAAAATTCAGACGCTTGGCCACGGACTCGTATTTACGACGGTCGTCGTGTCCCCTTTTTGCGACCTTCTGACAAGCAAAAGTCGACGGGGAAGCCGGATCCACTTAACGACCCCGTTACTAACTGAACAAATTCAGCGATTCGCTTAACAACCCCGCCAAGAAATGTGGCTTAACGGGTGAAAACTCACTTAACGGCTGCTTCGCTTAGCGACGGAAGCGTAGGCCTGAACCGCGGTCGTACGTTGAGGACTCCCCGTAAAACCACCTTGCGGAA